ACTCCAGTGTGAATTAGGATAGTAAAGCCTTTAACAAATCTTGCAGGTTACTGATGTTTGGCCTATGCATCCACAGAGGGTTGAAATTAATGTAGTGCAGTTTAAACCCAGCATGTGAGTTTAGGATAAATTTGTTTTCTGGTAATTGTGATCTTCATGCAGACTGAGTCTCTGGCTTTTACTAAGTGAAATCTCTTTCGTAGAAGCTCAGTACTTCAACATTCTAAGTATTTGGATGAATATATGCAGCCAAAGGACAACTAGTAGTCTCACTCTTATTAAGTTTAGCACAAGCATGATTAAAATTGTAAGTTACCTGAAGTAGCTATACAAACTGGCAGCTTGCTCTTTCTTTGTTTTTGGTTATAGCACTAGAATAGTCAGCAAGGTTCAGTAATGAAGCATGCAAAGTCAAAGTTCAATTAGCCTTTTTTCATTAACAACAATAAAAGGTGACTCTCTTAAAGAATCGGATATTCGTCCTATTTATAGAAATTTTGTCCCCCACTATAAATCAAAGGGTTTTTTTTTGTTGTTTTTTTTTGCTCTTCTCCCATACATGGCTGCTGTCAGGAAATTGTATTAAGTAAGGCAAATAATTCCAGGTTCCTAAATGATGATGCTCATTTATAGTTTTGCAAATCATTATAACATTAACTTCAAAACAAAGTGAGCTTCTATTACAGAAGTGCTGCTCTGAAAGAAGTGCCTTCTATTTTACCACATTGACCTACAATGCCAGAGGTGGATGTTGGTGGTATGGCAGTAGAGGCTGAACCTTCCCACCAATATTCTGTCACATTTTGTTACTGTGCAACAGATGGCAGGGAAGGGGCAGTCTGACAGAATGGTGTCTGCCATGGAAGCACATATGAAGCAAAGGGGTGGAACTGAATTCCTCTATGTAGAAAAAAAGCATTCACTGACATTCATTGACATTTACTGAACGTTTATGGAGAGCAAGCAATGGATGCGAGGTGGTGGGTGGTGCTTTTCTGCAGTGATAACAGCAATGTGAAACACAAACCATGTTCCACACAGTCATGAACAGTTGTCACACCACAAAAGGAAGAGCATTAGAATCAGTTCATCTGCATTATGACCAGGGAACTGTGTACAGAGTTGAGTATCAGCTTCGACGCATTGGGAAGGATGGGAGTAACGCTGGAATATCACAATGTTTGCATCATGTGGGTCCCACAGATGCTCTCCCAGGAACAGAAAGAACACTGTACAAGAATTTGTCAGGAACTGTTGAACCAATATGAGGCCAAAGATGACAGTTTCCTGGATCATGTCATTAACAGTGATGGGATGGAGAGTCACTGCTACGAGCTGGAGTCATCAAAACAGTAACCCACTGAGGGGCAACAAGTGAATTCTCCATCAAAGAAGTAGTTCAAGATACAACCCTCAGCGGGTTAAGTGGAATGCACTGTCTTTTAGATAAGAAAGGAGAGAGCCTTCTGGATTTCCTTGAGCTCAAACTACCAACTCAGTCATCATCATGATGTGGTGGTCAAAGCTGAAGGCTTATTTACATTATACAAATAACTGCTGTACTAAGGGACATGGTTTGGGGGGAAATACTGGTGGTAAATGGACGGTTGGACTGCATGATCTCAGAGTGTTTTTCAACTTTGATGATTTTATGAAATGAAGGGTAATTTGCACACCCAATTTCCAGTTGTGAAAAAATCTCATTCAAAAATACGAGTATCAACTGATTTAAAACTGTATTTAAAGTCCAATTTTTTAAAAAACAATAGTACTTTGGTAATTGATATTTTACAGCCAGTTGTCAATCAGTGTGAGCAAGAAAGATGTGGTCCAAGAGACTCTTTTTCTAAATATTGCCTGTTTTTGCTAGGAAATCTGAATGATGATTATAAAGCATTTTAGCTAATTACAATCCAACGCAGCAGAATTTAACTCAGCCTACAGACAATCAAAAACCACACCCCCAGGGATTATTAACCCTTTTCTAGTAAACTTAATCTAATTAATGGAAGACTGAGGAAAGCAGAAAAGAAATTTACTGCAAGGAACCTGCTTTACCAAGGGGTTGGACTAGATGATTTCCAGAGGTCCTTTCCAACCTCTACAACTCCCTGAATCTGTGAAAACAGCTTGATTGAAGAAGATCTAAGGTGAATAGAGCACAGCTCTGTTTTTGTAAATGAGTCAAAGCTGTGTAGCAGCTGGAGCACAGGGAGCATGCTACTCATCTCAAACCTGCCTGAAGGTTATGTGAAAACTGGCTGTGTCTTGCAGCACAAACTGATCAATTGCCGTGGGGAAATCTGCCTGTGTACAGACTGCGGGTTATGGTTTGCAACCTGTACTTTTCAGAATGCTGTTGAAGTAACAAGGTAGTTACAAGCATATTTGAAAGAGAAAAGACATGACCGTAATTAGGGAATAAGTGTGCATTAGATGCTTTTAAAATTTAATCTGGATACCAAATTACATCTTAGTTCTCCTACCTTCACAAACAACAACAACGAAAAGCTTCCGACCTAAAATAAGCTTCTTTAAAACTGAGTACAGAAGCTGTTACTGAGCCTTTATATTCTACTATCACCATTAAAATACCACCTAATTAGGTCTTATACTTGGCCTGTAACAAAATCCATGCCCCAAAGCATTTGCAGTTTGGGTTATGAAGTCTAATCACAGTGTGAGTGTAAACCAGAAACTCTCTTACAAGCAAAATTCTGAAAAATCAAGATAATTACAACCCTAGCTCATCCTGATTTGTGAGGTTATTTTTAGAGCAGCACAGGCTGCTGTGCTTTAAGCTTTTTTACATTTGCATTAAGTCCTCTGTGATTCCTCCTCTGAAATGTGTGCATATGCTGAGTCCATGTGAGATGCTACCACTGGCGCTTGTCATAAGAATTAAATCCCTCTCAAGCTTGTTTACAGCTCAGCACTTGTCATACTGCTCCCCTGAGCTTCATGGCTTACTGGTTGGTGGTTTTTTTGTGGGTTTTTTTTTCCCCTCTCTCTGGCTCTGTGAAAGATTTAATTTCTTTTTTGTTTATGTGTGTACTTACACTTGCAGGTGCAGAAAAGAAAAAAACTGCTGTACCCAGATGTTCTGAAGCTGCAGTAGCATACATACAGCTGAAATTAAGGAGAAAAATTGAACGGGATAAGCAACCTTCTCATGCAGTATTCTACAGCATATTTAATAAACCTATCATGTTTCATTGACTACAAGACTCTTGAATACAAGTTTAGGAAAATCAGAGTATTTTACAGTTGCTGTCTCTACTCTTTTGCAAAGAGCTTTTCAAAGCTGAAGGTGGTCCAATTACTCCCATTTTCAATTTTGCTCTATATTGTTGCTGCAGTTACAGACGCAATCATCAGTACAGCTACTGCATACCAAGCAGTCTTAGCTCATTACTGAATTAGATGAGCCTGAGAGAGTTCAATCCAGATTTTTGGTCATACTTCGAAAAATATATTGGGTTGTTAAAAAAAAAGAAAACCCTCTTGCTCCTCTGGTAATAGGAGAAATCACTGCCTGGATTGCCTGTAGAGACTCTAGCTCTCACATATGAAATCGCATCTAGTTAAATGTATCTCCATTTCACAAATGCAGCTGGTTAACCTTGCAAACTCATTTACCTCACCTCATATTCTAATTGCCTGTGAAAGGGTGCAAAGATTAGTAAGCTATTGCTCCATAGGCATCTACTATAGCCATCTCTCTACACCACAGTAATGGCTTGCCTGCTTCATCTTAACAGCACATGCAGAGACAGAGGCTTTCTGCAATCAGCAGAATGGCTCTTGAACATCTTTGTTCAAACTCGGTACATGCATTGGGAATCTTTCCTTAGACATCCATGTTCCTAGTGAAATAAGTTTATTAGCACAATTATGTGCAGAATAAAGTTCTTCTGTAATTTTCTTTGATCTCCTTTTACATGTTAGTTTTTCTAGTCATGCACAACCTATAACATAAAGCTTGCTGATGATGTGAATGGAAAAATACAAGCATCTGCCACAGAACCCACCGGAATTTTAAAGGATGCTGTTGTGAAATTCATGTTTTAATTTGCTTTTCTTTCACTTGTTTTCAGCTTCAGTAACTTCCTCTAGAGCTTCCACTTGTATAGGAAAGTCTGATTATGTGCTGTACAATCAGTGTTCTAACTACTGTTGCAGTGAGTGAGATCTCTTTTTCCTTGTTTTTCTTTAATATCTCTACCTTTGAACGTTGGTTCCCTGGATTATCAGCCATCAACAAAATAAAAATTCTTTCCCCAGTGAGGCTCAGTACATTCCTGATCTTGGAACTGATCTGGCAGAGTATTCAGGAGGGTGGGGTATTAAGAGAGATCCCATGAAATTGGTGAATATTAACTCTATAACCTAGAACTATTTCTTATTTCTAAACCTCCTTGGTGATATTTCAGCTTTGTTAAATTGATTACACACAACTATATACATTCTTAAACTGATGGCAGAGAAATAAAGATATGGTTGTGTAAAAAGCACAGGAATGAAAGTCCATTTCCTACATTAGGAGAATGCCATGCAAGTGAAACTCTTGTTTATAGCATCTCTAAAATTCTAGGTGCTGTACGAATAAAGAAGTCAGTGCTGGCTTAATATGGTCTCCAACAAACGTAGTTTTCGACTCCCTATTTTTTGCAGCATATTAAATAAAAGGCAGATAGCCTAACGTAGCCATGGATGAGATGTAGAAAGCACTTTTTACCTACCCAGAAGATTTGACAGTAAAATATATTCAGCTTGACAGACAGGAATTATCTGATTTCAGAATAATCACTGATCGTTACCTAATTGGTGAATATCAGACTACATTCAAGTCAACTTTCTTTGTGCTATGAAGCCGCTGATAAACAGTTTGGTCAGAAGCTTCACAGAATCTAATGTTTCTTCAGGGAGACCTCTGCTTACAATAACTAAAACACTAAAAGCAGAAGCAATTTTCCCTACATATTCTGTATTCCACTCACAGTACAGTTTCCATGCTGCAGCTTATTGATCTTTTATTGCAATGAGGCATCTTGACACACCAATCATTTGCTGCTTTGTATTTTCTCTGGAGATTCTGTTCAGTGAAATTCCTAGCAGCCTGAGCACCACCTACAAAAGAAGAGAATGCAGCTGTTACTGCACAGAGGCTGAAGTTCAGGGTGGATATATTTTTACTCACTATCTTGGGATAAGCAGGAGAACAACTTTTAAAGTACTTTATCACTGTTCCTCCTCCATCTCTTTATTTCACAGAATTGAATGCTCAATACAAAATGATGTAAGAGATACTATCAAGAAGCACTCACAGAAGTGCAAGTAGATTGTAACCCCTCTCAAACAATGCATTTCTAAGCAGCACGCAAACACTGAATAACAAATACATTAATATAAACTACACATGATGTGAGAAGAGAGAAAATACATTTTTTTTACTGCCAGAATACAAACAGCAGTAAGAGGTCACAGCTTAACAGCTTTGAAGACACCAATGCCAAACACCACTTCCCTTGTGCAGTTAAATCACTCAGTGCTATCTCACAGTTGAGGAAGAGACATTGGCTTTCATGCAGAATTCTGTTTTGGTTTAATTTCAACAAAGAATACATTTTCTCTTACCTGTAATAGTGTCTACTGGCAATAACAGTCAGAAGGATCAGCTTTCTCCTGACAGAAATGCACAAGCCTCTTAAGTGTTTTTAGAGACATAATTCTCAAACAGACAGAAATGCTTCCCAGAGTCCTTTAGTAGCCTCATGAGCTCAACCTGACTGATCAAACTTACCTACACGGACAGTAGAGATGGAATCAGGTTGGCGCACCTAACCAAGAGCACACTTAGATCAACAGAACACCTAAATCAAGTACAGTGGCAGTTTTACAATGTTGTAGATAAGTTTTTGCTCTAAAGAGTATAAGGACTGTTGTTGAAACCTACCTTCTTTTTAACATAATCAAAAAAAGATCTTTCTTCTTTCATTTCTTCATCTACATCAGGGAAAATGAAACCCAATTGTTTTCAGTGTATGCCTATAAATACAAGCATGTTTCTGCAAAGCAAAATTTGTGCACATGCAGTAACGGTTCGGCGTGGTTAAGACTTCTTATCCCTCCACCACTTACCCTCCACCAGCTTCAGTTTTTCTAGAAGTTTCCTTTGGGGCTGATTTCTTCTTAATTACTTAAGCTACATTTCACATCCCTCCATACTGTCTCAGATTCATGTAGTAATGAGATTTCATATATGAAGTAAATATAGATTAAAGTGTGAGTGATTAACATTTTCCAGGGTTGTAGACTAGTTTTTAATCTTTAGAAATCCTATGCAAATAACGTTTGAATTCAGAATTCATATTTAGAATTAAATTAGTCTTCTGTAACTTCTGCAGTAAGATGCTGCAATATGCAATAAACCAAATACTGTGAATTTGCTTATTGCTATAAACACGTTTCATGTACGCAAACAGTGGAAGTTGTATTACACGTTTTAAAGCCTTTACACTGAAAGATGCAAAGACCATACTTAAAATTCTACCTTTAGTGACAACAGTTGATTGAAATATACAGAACCTGTAACATCTCTGGAGATCCAGCCATAAAAAGTGAATAGACTCGCATCCAATAGCTTCACAACTTGCAGCTGTTGGGTATACTGTGCCTATTCCTCTTCTGGCAATGCTTTCTCCCCCTGAAACAATAGGAATTTTTCTACAATCCTCTACAAATTAGTCCAAAAGCAGTATTTTTTTGCCCAAACTGTGCAAGACAAACTGAGGCATTCACTGCACTTGAGGAAGCACCAAATGACCATAAGCTACTGATTTTCAGTAGTTTTCAACTGAACAGAAACAAAGCTAATGTGCACACAGCATGTATCTTTTTCAAAAATACTAAGTTATATACCCAAAATGAAATTATAATTCAAGTAAATATTGTTAATCTCTCCAGAAATTAAACATATATTCTAGTATGGACACTGAGAATTAAATTGAAGTTAATTTTTTTTTGCAAGGCAATGTAAATGAGCTCAAACATTCTCCTAAGTTCAAAGAGAAAGGTGGCACAGAGAAAGAACGGATGATGGCTGAAAAAGAAAAAAAAAAAACCTTTCACACGACACAGAAACAACCGAAAAAATGAGTTATGTGCAGTTACATACAAATAAGTCAAATGTAGTCAGTGTAAATTATCTTTGACTCAAGCCAAAAGCATCTATTTAGCTTTGCTCCAAGAACCAACAGAATACAGGAAAGGGATTAATTTTCATAATTATGCAATTTCCTGCAGTGTTAAGATAACAGATTTCTTCAGATAGGAAAAACAAATACATTTTTCGTTCTTCACAAAAACAGCATACCACTGCTTTCATTATACAATTTAATGGTCTATTTAAACAGTCTGATGGTCCTGCTACAAAACTATCTAGTACTCTCTTGCTCCATTTGGAAGGGTTGCTATTTCAGATGTTAAACATCTGGGCAGTTTTAGACCTAACATTACTGTTGTAATGTATATGCATTCTCCACACAGACTGAAATAAACAACCCTCTACATATTAAGTGTCTGAGAATTCACATATATTTTTGTCAAATACTCAGGTTTTTCCAGTCTCAGTTTCATTTTCCACATATTCTTAAAAGTATGGGGCATTCAAACTGTTTTCATCCAAGTTCATATTATTAAAATGGCAAATATTTTAAAAATGTAATTGCATAAAAGACAAATGTGAGGATGTTACAAGCAAGTATCATGGAAGTGGTTCCACTTGAAGTTAGTCTTTTCCAACACCACATTCAAATTTTTCAAAATATTTAATTGGCACGTAAAATCAATGTTTATATGCACTCATGAGCTGCTTCAGTAACATACACAAGAAGTTCCATAGCTGGCTTACTCCTTTGAACTATCCTTCTTAGGATGCTGTATTTTATATTCCCTCATGTCTTCATGCATGAAGACAACAGACCTGTTAATAACACCTCAAATTAACAATTTCACTACAATTTTAAAGGAGAGAAGAATATTGCCACTTACTGTTCTCAGGTTTTTTTTGTCTGTTTTTAATTTATTTGGAATTCTTTAAGCTGAAGAGCTATGACCATGTATGTCATTCCACTTTTCTTTTAAAAGGCATGGATTTCATCTGCATGGATGAAAAGTAAGGAGCAATTTAAAATTTAATTCATGTGACTCTTCAGTCTTAAGCAATTTTGAAAAGTGGTTTATTTAGAGGTTTCAACAACAAGCAGGATGGTCTCTATATGTTAATGCTGTTGCTGATTAGACTCATTTAGAAGCCAAGTCTAGCCAACATAGAAGGACAAAGCGAACTTCAATTTCATGCTGATGGTCCAGAAAAATATCTCTATGAAATCTGGAAAAGTTAGCACATCTAACCACAATACACAGCTAGAAAAATATTCTTATGCATAGGCACTTGCTCATTTAATTCTTAAAAACAAACAAAAAAATCACTTAAGCATCAAACTCACAATTTTAAAATGAAAAGTTTAAAATGAAACTGTTCCTGCAAACTGCTACCAAATCTTTTATAAAATGGTGGCAATATTATGCCCAAAGTTTCAAGCTGAGCAGTGAAATTATTCACAAAGACAAAATTTTGTTGCAAATATTTACTCAAAAAAGGAATAATTTACAGCAGTGCTTTAACAGCTGTTCAAAACATTTAACACATTAAAAACAAAACCAGGTCAAAAGCACATTCTGAATGTTTCAAATGGAGCAAGGAAGTTGTAAGAGCAAGCTACTGTCATATTCATTTCTACACCTAACTGCTAACTATAAAAAAAAAACCAACAAAAAACAGCAGCTATCTTTTTGAATATAACTTAGACTACAAAAAGTTGTGAAACTGAACTGTACATTCCCACAGTATACGCTCTTGTGTCCTTTTTTCTAGGAGTTAGCAAGTAGCAGCTGTTAAATGGCAGAATGCATGCCAGCTGGTACTTCCAGTTTGGGGTTTTCCTTCTTGCTTAAAACAATTTTTACATTAAACCATACTTTGGTTTTTGCCTTACAGACCATTCCTATGGGTCTACCACTAAGAATATTTAAAACAATGGTAAAAGACTAAAAGCTACAGTACTTTTAGCAGTATGTCCTACTTTTTACAATTATGTCTGGTATTTCTGCACAGTCTGCATACTGAAAACCCCACAAATATATATATTTTATTGTAATATTTTCACTTTCACTGAAAGTTTAAGTCAAGTCTACAGTCTGGCAGGATTACACCTGTACAGAGGTGCATAGATTCATATAATTGTTTACATGCTTTTACAGACAGGAATGTGATACCAAATCCAAAGCTTGTGTTTATCCAGCTATCAGCAGACCAACAACCATTGCTACAAGTGTGCTTCATTTCAGCATCAGAACTAAATTCGTACTAAGTTCCACTGTTTCATTAAAAGAGTTTTTAAAATTTTCTCTTTGCTAGCAAATAATCTTATTCCAGATACAAAAATAGATTTTTTTTCCTCCTTTCAACTCAGTTTATTCAGATAAATGAGAGAAGAAACAGGCAGATAAACTTAAACACACATTACCTTTTCTAAATTTACTTGATGCAGTTGTGCACACACATTATCTCCATATGTCAAATTTCCCTTTCAAAAAACCCCCAAACCATTAGCATCAATGAGCACACTCATCAGGAATGGTCCATGGTGTTCCTATCATTATATATAATACACAACAAAATGAATGTAATTTCAGCTTGCTTCATTTTCATCTGTTTTGTTTACAGTTGTTTCCATTCTGCTGGGACTGTCTTCTTGAGAAGTCTTGTCTGTTTGTTCAGAGAGTTGTTCAGCTTGCTTTGATGAAGGTGCAACATTACCTTTCTGAAGAATTTCAGTTGCTTCATGCTCTAGTACCTCTGACGGAGTCAAAGGCTCCAAATGAATACTGCCTTGTTCACTCATGTCTGAACTAACTGATTCAGGTTCATTTCTTTTTCTCAAGAACTGCTCAAAACTAACATCTTCACCCAAAGTTAGCTTTAAGTCCTTTGCATTCATTGCTGAAAGAGTAATTTTATCCAAGTTTTGCACTTTAGTCTGATCAGTCAAGACAACATCATCTGATCTTTGGCAAGTTTTCAACTCACTTTCTCCATGAATACATTTTTGTTTCTCGCCTACCGATTGTTTGTTATGATCTGAATCACAACATGTTCCTCTCTCATGCAAAGATTTCTTCGTGCTGTTATCATGGAGTTCCAAATTGGCAACATTTTCTGTATCTGACAATGATGAATTTTCTTCAGTCTTTTCAACCGATGCAACTTCATTTTGGTTTCTATTGCATTCTTTTGTTTCCTCTGAAGAATCAAGCTCCTGTTTGCTGAAAAAAACAAAATGTTATTTTTCTAAAAGTTATAATAAAGCAACATGTGGCTATACTCTGCAAGGTAACAGCCAAATAGCACTGCAGATTTCCTATTTGTTATTTCTTAAAAATTTTCATAGCAAGATGGGCTGAATTTACAAATTCATTTTTCTTACCCATTTATATATCCAGCTTCAGTATTCTTTAATTCTTGCATTTCATCACTAGAAATGAAGGTTGCTTCCTTCTTCTCACGTGGAATTTTTAAAAATACAGCACTAAGCTGCTCTTTGACACAAATGCAGATACAACTAATCAAAATTTATGTTGATGATGTGCAAGAAAAATAAGCCAGTTCATACCTTTATACGGACAAATTGAGTCTGCACTGCTAACAAGTGTAAAGAAAGAAAAAAGCTAGCTGTTGGAAACCACAATTAATTCAAATATAAAATTTAGTTGATCAACTAGAAATTTGCAGTATTTCAATAAGTAAATTGGTGAACAAGCATTTTTAGTCACTTTTCAGAGTAAAACCACATGGTGATAGATAAAAGGAAAGAATTGCGTTGATTCATGCAAGTAAAAATGAGAATCTTATTATATAGTAACATAGAAAACACAACATAAAAAATTTTATACAAAGTAGTTATTGTTTAATTTTGTATTATTTCAACAAAGCCACATGCAGTTCTGTAAAGTGATCAGGAAAGGGAAGTGGGAGAGGGATGAGAATCCTCCAAAGAGATTAAACTGTGTATTTCAGATGCCACCTCTACTGACAAAAGCATGTGACTAATCACATGCTGTATGCAAACTGCTCATGTTCATATTCCAACAGACAAAACCCTGCCTTCTGATATTTGTCTTCATTTGTTATAGGAACATCAGGCTTCTCTCATCATTTCAGTGAGGAAGCTCATTTTTTTGCTGTGAAGATTTAGGCTTGGTAAAAACATAGTTTGAGACCCACTCAAGATTCTTCAGAATGACAAGTAGTGCTAACTGCCCCCTAAATGGAGATGTTAAGTAAACAAAACAAACCAAAAACAGTGAAAGGTGGCAGAGGGCATGAAAGAACAAGCTGGATTTCAGATGTAAGTCCTATATAGGAAGTGAAATTTGGAGCAAGAGCATATCCCAGTTTAATGTCTGAGTCTAAAAGCTGCAAATAGTATTTGAACAGTAATATGCAGATAAGAAACGGGAGATGGCATCATCAAGTATTAAATGCATCAAAAAAGCATCTGTACTTTTTCAAATAGTTTTAAGTATGTTTGAAACCATTTCTGGCTAAACCCACTTGCTAAGCAATGCATAGTTCAAGGAACAGGAAATAACCAGATTCTTGCTATTAAATTTTTACAATATATTCTCAAACTAAAAGTTCATGTGATTCACCTACATGCTAAGTGATACTGAGTTGCACAGCAGAAGTCTAGTCCAGGTGCTACAAGCTACAAACACTCAGAAGTTTGTTTTCAAGTTTTACTTTCATTCAAAGAAGCTAATTCAAGAATATTCAACTTGCTACTTAGGCTTAAGACACAGGAATATTCTGAATGGGGTAAGAGACTACAAAGAATCTTAAATGGTCAACTCTTACTGCCTACTGAGATAGTCATAATAATAATTTCACTGTGACACCATTTCATCATTCATAATCAGTCATTAACTCAGGAGGTGAGCCTATCTGCCAAACTATAACTTGTATTAGCTACTATGACAGATAAGTATGCGTGCTTTTTTCACTTATTAGACTAACACAATAAACAATACTCCCCAATATACATTTTTTTCTATTCTAATTATTCTCCTCCATCTCAAACTACTAGAAAAAGAAAATATAATGATTCAGAAAAAAATTGAGACGAAGTTCCAGCACAGGAGCTAGATTCACTGCCCAGCGGCTATGGATGATAATTAGCCTTACCACACCTGTGCCTAATTATCTCACCTATTCCAGAAAAATACTTCAGCTATACAGAGCCTTAGAAATTTTAGTAAATACTTAGAACTGCATTCATATGAAAATCCAATCAACTCTATGAAACTGTATATTTGTGACCTTTAGCTGCTACTCTTCAACAAGCAGCTTTGAGAGCTGAAGTTGCAGAGTTAACAAGCAAAACGGTATGCTTTACTTGACAACTTTTGAACAGAGGTATGCAAAAATGGGTTTAAATAAAGCAATAACTAATTCCTCATTAGCACTGACACCAATGTTTCCACAGAGGGCACTCCAGATGGATTACATTCACACACCATTCACAACAAGAAACTCTTAAAGGACAAACCTACTTTAACATAAAATGGAAATCCATCACAGTCTCCCTTATCTTCGTACAATCAAACCCCAACTTTGACCAAATCCAGCCCTCTTTGCTATCAACTCCTTTTTGGAGAAGTGCAGGAAGTGTGGAATGGGAAGGAAGAAAAACTTCCTACATTCATTTCTCATGCAGAAGAAAAAACTCCCCAATGTTTTACACCAATAAAACAGAGTTTAAAAATAAAACCGCTCAGTTTATGTAAGGCAATAACCATCACAAAAACAAATACAGAGAAAACAGTGATCTAGTATTGCTAAACACATCAGTAAGCAAGCTCCTTTATATTGAACAGCTCTCCAATTGAATAGTTTAATAAAACAAACTCATTTTCTAAAGCATGCCACCAGTCATGGCTACAGATTGTGAAAACTGGGCTATATTAATGAACCAGCCGCTGTACCATCTGTATGAACTCCAGCTTTTGAATAAGGCTACTTGCAGAAGACATAATTTTGAGTCCAAGAGATGAATCTACTAAGTGAAAGCATACAAATACCACAAGCTGGAGTATCTTGGAAATTAAAAGTAATTTTTCCTTATTGTATAGAAAATGTAAGACCTGGGAGCTAAGTGACGCTGAAGGAAGGTCTGCATACTTGCTGTGTTCTGTTTGTTTTTCAGTTTGGGTGGTTCTGATTGTTGTTTTTTTGTTTTGTTTTTAAACTCTACTAGCTCAAGTTTTCTTTGTTGCCCTTCGCAATGCACGTTCACTTAATGTTCTTTAGAGCATTAGTATTTTGTATTAAGCTCTTAAAAACCATTCAGGGAAAATACTTATAGCAAGAAAAGAAACCACACAGCTTCAGGTGACATTTACATAACTGCATACACAATAGCTGCAAGGTATGCACATGAAGACCCTCAGTTTGTGGACTGTACTTACAGGTAACAAAATCTGTACTATAGCTGCATTTACTTTGGTATGAACCAACAACTTAGTTTTGAGGCAAATTGCTAGCTGTTCCCACACACTGGTTTGGTTTACAGAACTGTTCTGGTGTGTGCAAACTGAATTTCTTTTTGAGGAAACTGAACTAGAAGCTCTGATCCATGAACGCACCAAACTTCTAACAGAGTCCTCAAGAATCCAATCAACAGGAAACAAAGAGCAGGTACATATATTGATGTTAATTTTATCTAATTAAATGTAAAGACAGGAGAATGCAATAGATAGCATTCAATTATAATGATTTGTCCGTAGTTTAAAGATGGAGTTAGCTTCTCATACCTGAACCATTCAGTCTCAATTCTTAAGTATCAGAAGTGAAAGTAAAATTGTAATTATTTGGTACTCTGCATACGACTAAAGAAAGGTAACAGAGAACCTTTTCTAAGAAGAAAAATAACCTATAGAGAGAAACTGAAAGCACATGACTGCTTTTTAAATTTACTTTTTAATTTACTTTTTAAAAAAAGGTACTACAAATGTATTTACAACGACTGAAGCGATGTTCTGACTAAGCTTTTAAAGGTTAAATTTGCATCAAAATTGTTGAAGACTACTAATTGGAGTAAGATACTTCAGGCCACGGGATCTGGAGTAGTAATGCATATATACACATACATCTAAGTCTGCCCACACTGTGTGCCCAAAGCCATGTAAAATTTCAACTATTTTCCCAGACAGACATTAAAAACCCGCAATTATTATTTTCCTTAGATCTGTAGTTGTAACAGCTACACAGCAAAATGAATTCCCAAGGATTAACATTTACTGCTGTATAACTGTTCCCCATTTCCCCTTTCAATTCTGTTAATTCATGCAAATACAAAAAAAATCTTTTTAACACTGTGTACAATTTATCACAAACTTTGACTTATTTGTAGGTTAAGCACTGTTTTGACAATGAGAACCTAAATTTTGTGTCTTTCTGAGTACATTATGACTGCCACTCAAAAGTTTTTGTCATAGAAAAACACATCATGAAAATACTAATTAAAATATTCTCATTCAATTACCTGAGAAATAACACAGTATGTATTATTATATGTAACTGAACTTCAAGATGCAGCTAATTATTGTATTACCTTGCATATGTTGGTGTTTCTGTTTTTCCTTCAGATAAACTAGGTCTTGAAATTTTCTGTAATATTTTATTTTATTTTTTAATCCGTGACCAATTGATTACAATAAAGTTGCAGAGACAAATTCACACTGACATCCCATCCATCTACTAAGAACCAGAGAATGGATATTAATACAGATGTTCACAAACTCTTGCAAGTTAGGGGAAAAAAACAACAAAGCTTTGAAACAATCCTTGTGGCCTTTTTCATATCCGCGATTGTAATTACACCTTACTGAATAAGATCTCGTGAACTGTGTCCTGACAGCATTTCATTTGGAAGATAAAAGCAAACAAACAAGAAAACCAGAACAACTAATTTGACAACATTTGTTTTGCTAAAAAGCCAACAGAAAAACAAGAAAGAGAAAACTGAGGAATGCATCCACCCAATGAAATAATTTTTGAACTCTGAATGACACAATCACTTTTTTTTATTTTTCTTTTTAAAGAAGAGTAGAAAAATAATTTTTTTTAACGATTGCCAGTGAAAAATTGTCAAAGCAGTCTTCTAAAAGCTTCTCCTATTCTGCCCATATATTATCTTATCTTAAGAAAATTATACGAGCTTAAAAAAAATTAAGAAACCTAGTTTTTGTCCAAGTAAGTGAATTCT